TCTCACCTTTGGACTTGCAGTAATACAGCAGGAGGAAAATTAATGTGATTCCAGAAATTAGTCCAACGATCATTAGAAATGAAGAGCTCTCCGAACTGAGCACAGCTGTTGTAAATAAGAAACACAAACTCTTGAGTTCAATAATTCAGAAGCTGCTTTAAAGACAATAAATATGTTCAAGGGCTTTGGATTTTTTATTTCTTAAGGATGGGACTTTCAGTCACTGCTGTAGTTTTTTAGGCCTCCCAACTCTTCTTGTTTTTTTCTGTGGCTTGTCCAGTGTTCTCAGATTTTTTACGGACAGCCTGGACACCGTGCTGAGATGTGCCAAGTGTTCAGCTAAATTAAAAACTCTATTGAAATCATTTTGCTGGTACAAACATGCTTTTGTATTCCTGTCAAACTGTTATTTATTTATTTATTTTATTTTATTTATCTATTTAAGTGTTCGTCTTATAATATATTTCACACTAAGTACAGCAGAAATTTCCTAATATTGTAAATCTGATCAATTGCTTGGCAATAAAATCTTTTCTGGTTCTGATTCTATATTTAGCATTTTTCTTAGATTTAACAAAGAGGGGAAACAAATTATTTGTTTATGTGACAAGCTGCAAGTAACGAAACATCTAAAGATAAAATGTAAAATGATATGATCATCTCAGAAATCCCTGTTCTACAACAGTGTCTGTAAAAATGTTTGCTGCATATATTTTAAAAACAATGTAACATACTTTGTAGACTACTGAATTGTTCCTGTGCTGACCATTGCTATGTTTGTAAAATGGAGCTCAACAACAAACATGACAAACAAAACAAAAATGACTGAACTCACTGGTTATCTCAATGGTGACATCATCACTTTTATCAGTGTAGTAAACTGGGTTTCCTCTTCTTCCTCTGCAGTGGTAGATTCCTCCTTGAGATACTCTGATTACTCTGTTTTGTTGATCATCTGCTCTCATTTGATCTTCAGTGTTTTGGTCACATCTGAACCACTCATATTTCCAGCCAGCAGAGCTCCCCACAGAGCAGTTCAGTGTCACACTGCCCCCTACTGGTATGATAGTTGATCCTGGAGTCAGTGTGGCCCTGGGTTTACCTGAGGTAAGGAAAAAGAAGAAGAAAAGGAAAAAAATGGATTGTCATTTATGCTTAGAAATATTTACTCATATATGCTTAGAGTTTTATAATTAGTTGTAGATTGATAGAGGTTTGATCCTTAGTAGTCTGTGGAGACTCTATGGGCCTCCCAGAGCACACACACAACTTAAGGTCAGGAGAGAGGTCATATCTCCACTTACTGATTTATGGTATAGGAGGACACCTACTCTGTATTTGGTTATGTATAAGAGCCTTTTGTTTAGATGGACCGCTAGACTCCTGGCACCAGCTTTGGGGAGTCTTCACAGGTTCACATCTTGACCACACACACACTTGTATATCTATGTAAAAACGCCATATGTTAATGAACCTATGCATATTCATGTAACCACAATAAAACGAGTGCTACAGGGCTGAGAGTCTGACGGAGGTCAAGTGGGCAGAACGACATCTGGCTCCAGGCAGGTCTCCCTCATGCATGAGTAACACAAACAACTTTGCCTACTTGGTGTCCAATGCTTTTGCTGTGTAGTTAAATTGTCTCGTTTCAGCGGTGGGCCTGTGCTAGACAGACCCATCAAAGTATTTTTTTATTTTTGTGCGTTCTGTGAGTAGTACGCAAAATTAATTGCACAATGGTACATTTTAATAACAACATTTTTATAATTAGAATAGAATAGAATAGAATTCAACTTTATTGTCATTGCACAGGTACAGGGCAACGAAATGCAGTTTGCATCCATCCAGAAGTGCTTTAGCCATGATATAGATATATTACAATATATATTAGCAATAATATAGATATG